CTACTAGCGATGGCCTCCCGCCAATAGCAATGGCCTCCAACCTACTAGCGATGGAGGTCTGATCTAATGCCCAACTTTCCGGCCAAGTCGGGCCTAGCTTGCACTCACTTGCATTAGGCTGGGGCCTGCAATGGTCAACAGCTCGTCCTTGTCCAAGTACTGCCAAAGCAGACCCAATGAACAAATTCAGCCAATCTCTGAACATGATGCAAGTACAAATTCCATGGCCTGGGTGAAACCTGTTCGCATGCAAACAATAGAAAGCTTAAGAGCTTCTTGATCGAGTGTATACATCCTGAGAAGAACACCAGGCTTCAAGGAACAGCACCAACAATGCCCACAAACCTGTCATTAAAGCTCAGGCCCCCGCGTAGACAAATTGTATGCTATTCTTTGATCCAAACCATTTGACCCTACAAAGTACCTCCACAGAGCTGGAATTCGTCGTGTGCAGGTTGCAAAACGCAACACAAACACCAGTCCACAACACACAGCAATTCGGTCCTTGAAGCTTGCGAACCTCTGTCAATGTTGGCCAAACCGGCCTTAACATCACAGCTACAAATACATGCACAGTGATGAAATGTAACGCAGGTGATCGACAAAGTGGTATTCCAGACCTGGGACATCTGTGTAGTGACAGCCTCCAACGCACAAATGTGCTTGCAAGTTCTCAAACAGAATGCTGAAAAATAGATTGCCTTCTGCCTTCTGTAGTTTTCTTGATTTTGTTGCAACGCTTGAGGCATCTCTCCATACAAAGCCAGGTTTTAAGTGCCGGAAAGTCTGCTTAGCTGTTGCTCATTACTCCAACCAGGACTGTTGAAATACCACAGAGGTTCTTCCACAGTTTGCTACCGACGGCTCAGTCGCCGCCGCAACACACCCGTGCGAAAGCCACAGGTGACCTAGTGTTTGGAGGTGAGCAACAATCCCATAGACCGGTGACCAATGATTGTGCTATGGGTGCACGCGTGCACTACTTCCGTGCATTGCATGCATCTGATAGTTAGACATGCAGTGAGCTCTCAATTGGAAGATCAACATCAATTTCCTTGTTTCTAGGATCCAATAAGCAATGAAGAAGCACCGAGCAGTAGTTGTTGATGCTGTCCTGCATAAGTCGCTTGCTGCCGCCAGGGGATAGCCTGTGAGCATGCTGGGAATGACATGGCAGGGGTTAGTCCTTGCATTGAATTGGTCAAGTTGATTATATATTGAGTGTGAAATCTCATTATACGTCCTCGTATCATGTTGATGGTAAGACCCCTTTCCAAATGTTTGCAAGCACCGCGCCCGTTCTTGGCACAGAAGCTAATGAGATAGGTCTCCAAGGCATGCACAAGCCTGGCTCTTTTCTTCCCAAATTGTCTTTTCAATACAAGTGCTTCAAGTAATTGCATTCTAACAACTCTGTGAGATATGTCGATACAATTTGTGCCAGAACGACTCACTTTGGAACTGCGCAATGCGCTTTTTCCTGAAGACTTCCAAAATAAACCGATATCGCGAAGAAAAGGGCTTAGTTTGCGAGGTTTCAACCAACCGTGGCATTACGTCCGCACTCTGATTGCCTTTCTTCCTGGCGTCCTTCTTCTTGAAGTTCTTCCTCAAGAACAGCACTATTGAACTACTTGTGAGTCCTGCAGAAGTCCTACGAAAGCTTTGCTTAAGAACTCAGTGTAAAGTGTGCTCTCCTGCAAGCTGAAAGAACGTCCTTCTATGGAGAATTCACATCGATGAGCATCCTGGCGATAAACCGAAGGAAAGGTAGGTGTTGTTCACAGGTGTTCATGCTTTGTTTTTATCTTTATCGGAGGCCGGGAAGACTCGGCAGGACAGGGACTTTGGGAAAAATGTAGATTAACTGGCCACTAATAGTTACTATATGGTAGCTAAACGTAGCTAAACGCTGTTAAACGTAGCTAAACGTGCCGGTAGCTACTTCGGTACCAAAAGGTAAAGTAGGAGGAGCATGAGCAAGCTGAGCAAGCGCTGGTTGTTTAAGGAAGCATTTCAGCATTTCCCAACTCGGCACAATTTGTGTTCAAATACTTTCAGTGAAGAGTTTCAGCAAGCTGTGGATGCACTTTTGGACACCTTGATTTCCGTTTTCTTATGTTTTCTTTGTTTCCCTGTTTCCGAAGTTGAACGGAGAATTTAGGCTCTTAAACTCAGTGACTTAGGGTCACAGTCCCAAAGGTTGTAGTTGAAGCTTAGGCACACTTTTAGCTCACGCCTGAATGATCAGGTAGATTAAAATGAACACAAAACGGCTGCAGTGAAACATACATCTATACAAGCTATGTCATGTACATGCCACTGGTGCTACATCTGATCACGCCTCCCGAGATTAACTTCTGGGAGATGTTAAACGAGTCAGGATTAGCACTTAATTAGCTCGTAGCCCTTCAGTACCTCTTCAAGACCAAGATGTACCTACTCTAGCTCAAGCCGTTCACGCTTTCAAAGTCAGTTCATGCTCACCTTCCAAGTAGTGGAAGTTCATGCCTTTCATGGCTGTAGTCATTTTCTCCTCGGTGACAGCTTTCGTAAGCACGTCGGCCAACATTCGGTCGGTGCCTTCCTTCTTGAGACGAAACTCTTTCTTTGCTGTGCGCTCTTGTACCCAGTGGTACTGAGTGTCAACATGTTTAGCTCGTCCCAAGCCTCGACGGTTTCCCATGGCGATGCCAGCGGAAGCGTCCATTGTCACTTCTTTGCTGGGAAACAATCCCCAGTCTCTTGCAGTTGACGCGACTCCAAGCATCTGACATGCTCCGGAAACAAGTCCGTAGTACTCGGATTCGCCACTGCTCAGGGAGACTAATCCTTGGCCTTTGCTGTATGTAGTGAGACAGCATTTGTTGGCCATGAGCACGCCTCCTGACACACTCTTTCGTGTCCTTATGCAACCTGCATGGTCGGCGTCTGACCACATGTTGAAGGGGTTGCAGGTGCTTTGGTTTGGAAACAACTGTGCGACTCTTGGTCGATACCTGACATATCGAGCCAATCGTTTCAGCATATTCCAGTGCCTCGATGTTGGGTTCTGTAGACCTTGTGCCAATGAGCGCGTTGCAGTTTGCAGATCAGGTCGATCTTGTGCCAAATACGCGGCTCTCATAGCAATAGATCTATACATCGTTGCATCTTCGGCGCTCAGCGGAACTTCTTCGTGTTGGAGTTCCTCTTGACTTGGCTTGGCCAAAGGTGTCTTGACCTTGCCTGGTTGACCAGTGCCTAGCCACTTGATGATCAACTCTGCATGTCTTGGATCTGGTTCCCACCAAATGCCTTCATTCGACCAGGTGATGATGCGATTCAGCACTCTGATCTGTTGACTTGCTTTTGGTGAACCTGGTGGACCGAGAATGCCTCGTTCCACAACTTGCCATTCTTTGGCTGCTGAAGTGTGAAACCATTTGATGTCATCAAAACTTCCAACGGTCGTGAAATCGTCTCCATGCACTTCTGTTCGAAGTTCTCTGGATGCATGGTAGTAGATACATGGGTTGGATTTTCCTTGTACAAATCCTAGCTTCTTCATGAACTCTGCGATGGTCAGCTCCCAATTCATGGGTGCGTCTCTGGTACCATATAGGCTTCTGACCAATTTTCCTACCACATCTCCATCTTCTGGTCTCTTACCTTCGGATGGAATTTCAACATAGAGTTCTCTTGTTGCCTTGGAGTAGAAATGAGCTCTCTTCACATCCAAAAATCCTAGAAATGATTGTTTTGATTTTCTTCTCTCGCCTTACTCCAATGGCAGGCTGTCGCTGACTGCAATGGTTAGCAGTAGCTTCTTAAAGCTGCTAGGCTCGGCATGGCTGCGAAAAATTCGTCAAAACCTGAGCCTCTTTTGATCTCTTGCGCTAGCAATCGACTTCTGTAGAGAGGATTGGTTTCATCTTGCTTATTCACATCTACCCATCGAGTTCCAATGATTTTGGTTCCTTTTGGAACTTTGCTTCTTGGGATCTTTTCCCAAACTCCCATTGATTCGACAACGTCGATCTCATCCTTTCTGGCTACCTTCTCAGGTAGAAGCTCTTTTCCACTGATGTCATCATAGTACCACCAGTCTTTTGCCTCTTCTGCCATTTCTTCTGGCAGTGGGATCTTCTCTTCACACACTGGTTTCTCTGGGTCGATGCTAGATAGCACTCTCTCTCTCTGTCTGTCTTCTAGGATTAGGCTTTCTAGAGCCATCTCAATGCTTTGGATGTCTCTTGTTCTTTCGGCTTCATCTTCATGTTCGCCTTCTGCCTTTCTTTTCTTGTCTCTATCTACTCTGGCTTTTGCTGTGGGTGATCCTGCTGGCTCATGCTGTTCTTCATGCTCTCTCTTTTCTCCATGTGGTTCAGGTTCGCGTGGTCTGCGAATACCTGATGCTGATGCTGATGCTGTGCCTGGTGTTGGTGGTGCTGCTTCTGGTTCGTACCACAGTTCTGTCATAATGTCCATCTTGTGTGGTAATGCTCCATTGAGTATCTCTGGTGGAAGGTCTGTTGTCATGACTCCACTCTCAATGATTGCATTGTTTGCATGGTTTCTTGTGACTCGGTGCCAGACGGTAGACCAATCAGGTCCTCCTGGCATGGTGGTTTGAAAACAGTAAGCTTCGACGTCAAGTCGTGCGAATACTCGACATGAATCGGGGACTCCCGATGGTCTTTTGCTTTCATATCCATGAAGGATTTGAAGTCTCTTGCCACTGACTGGTTGTGGCATGCCAGTGATTGCCTCTCCAACTCGGCTTTCATGTCTTGCCACTCTTGGGTTCTCTTCTTCTTCTCCTCTGATGCTCTCTTCAAGCCTGTCTCAGCACCTGTTGGTGTGATGAATGCCTGTAGATCTTTTGCCAATCTGTGTGGCATCACAAGCTGGGCAACCTGCAGTGCACCCAAACTTTTCCAGGTCTTTCTTGGTGATGTAAAGTCTTCTCAGCTTTCTTTTCTTGTCATCAATTGCCGGTGGTTGAACTAAAGCTTCACCACTTGGACTGGCAACGACTGGTTCCCTTGGGGCTGCAATCGCTGGTTCTTCGCGAATTGCTTGAGGATCCCAGGGAATCCCAGTGATCGATTTCAGCAACTCTGAATCATATCGATCTTCTTCTGGCTTTCTTCGAATGGACTGCACTGTAAAAACACCTGTGGAGTTACCTACTATCTTCTCTGTGGTGGTGTCCTTCACTCCTAGAAAAAATTCCCTTAGTCCATTGTGCCTCAAACTTGTGACCTCTCTTGAGGTATTCGATGGCCTCACCAAAAGGTGGAATTGCTACTCTCCATTCACGTCCACGAAGTCTTGAATACGGAGTCTTTCCGTCTTGAAGTTCGGCGGATCGGAAAAACAAGTTGTAGACTGTGGATGCGTGCTCAACCAACCAAGTCAAAACAGGTGAATCGTCAGGAAGTTTCTCACCATAGTTCGACTCGATTGCGGCTCGAAGAGTCCTGGCTTGTCCTTCCAAGGTTTGAACTGCTCGTTCAATCTCTCCCTTGGATTCTTTGACTCCTTTCGGGCTCTTCTCGATGATCAGGGTTCCTTCAAACCCATTTTTTACTGCCTCAACAACAGAGGTGAGAGCAGGTTCAGGATCGTGTCGAATGATCAGTTTGGAGTATCCTAGTTTCTTGATGTCGTTCAGAAATACTTTGGATCCATATGGACCTTTTGTCACACCTTTGTAGGGTAACACATGGGCAAAAAGATGCTTCGTCCATCGATCTCTGACAACAAGAATTGGTGCATGAGTCTTCTCGTCCAAAACTACTACATCATCAGTTCGTGAGTTCATGAAACAGTAATCTACAGTTACAACTGGTGTGGTTTCGTCTGTGTGGTCCACTCTCCTGCCTGTGTGGATTTGCTTTGGCCTTTCCCCTAACACAGGCCTCACACCAGGAACGAAAAGGAAAGTGTGAAACAAGGTGTTCCTCGAGCTCTTTTCGCGTTGGGCGAACTGGAGCGTTGATCTTGAGCTCAGGCGGAATTTCATCGCCTGGCTCGCCCTCAGCGGCTTCACAATCTCCCGGGGCCTCTTCGTCCATCACCGGACTTACCCACTTCGGTGCCGGGTGAAATGGTGGAACACGATCGGCACGGAGTAAACTCCATTGCAAAAGGAGATTGGGATCTTCTTCACATCTCGAGCAATGTGTCCTCCAGTCTTGCTCATTTGGATGGACCAGCCCTTGTCTGCGAGGGCTCCTGCAGAAAGTAACGGCTTGGAAACTGCCATCACTCGAAAACTGCATCGTCCCTTCAGCGCTTCCTTGCCGATGCCAATCGTCACCTTGGCGTCGACCTTGCCGAGATCCTTCACGATCTCGCCTGAGGCGGTCTTATAGACCTTGCTGGTGCCTTCAGGCTTGTAGCCCAGTGCTGCGGCGAGTTCGACAGGGATGCAAGAAGTGGCAGCTCGTGAATCCAAGGTCACCTGATGAGCCATTGGCGTCTCCATGGATGCCAGCTCCAAACTCTTGAGAGCCAATGGGTCTTCCTCACCTTCCTCAGGCTCACTTGAGGGAGTGGGATATCGCTTTCCCTTTCCCTTCTTGGCCTCGCGGGCAGCATCTTGAGTGGCCACGTTGACAGCTCGAGTCAACTGCACTTTCTTCTGCTTGCCCTTCTCCTGGCCCTTCTGATGGCCCTTCTCGGATGCAGCCGGAGCCGAAGCGGCTCGGCTCTTGCCCGACTTCAATCGAAGCGTCTGCCTTGGCGCTTCGCTGGATTCCTCTTGCTTGGGTCCTGGTCCACGGAATCGCTCCATGTGCTCTTCAGTCGAGCTCTTGAACCAGGCCATGCGCTCCTCCTTGGTCTTGCCCTTCTCCTCAGGAGGTGGAGGTGTCTTGGCAATGCGCCTCTGCTTTGGCGTCTTTGGGCCTACATCATCTTCCTCCTCCTGTTCTTCCATCATCTTCTGCATATGGGCAGTCATGTAAAAAGGAGGTTCTTTCTTGACGGTCTCAAGCTTTGGATCCTTCATCTTCAAATGCTTTGCCACATCTTCGGGCTTCAGATCCATGTTGGCATCTTTCACATGCTTTGGCGCATCTTTCGAAGTTGGGCTGCCTTGCTGTCCCTTGGCAGTCTTGATGCGCTTTCCCATCTCTTTCTGCTTGATCGTCCATTCCTTTGCCCACTGGTTGAGGACTTTTGGTGGGCAGCAATTCAAAGCCATATGATGGTTCCATAGACCGGTGTCATTGTCACACCTCAGGACCTTGTTGCACGCACGGCAAAACATGATCTTGCGGCCATCTCTGTCCTTGTGGGTGCATTTGGCTACCCATTCATCATAGCTGAGGACGCGCTCTTGGAACATATGATCGAGCCATGGCACGGTGTCTCCTTCTGGCTCCTTTTCCTCTTCTTGTTCATCTGACTCATCATCAGCTGGCTCAGTGCCATTCTCGTCATCATCAACTTCATCTTCAAACTCTTCCTCGCCAAGTCCCTCAATCTCAGTCACATCAAGAGGGTTGATGTTCTCCATGACTGGTGCGGTGAAGGATGGTGCGCTTGTTGCTCCTTCGCCTTGGCTTTCGATACGCTTCATCGCAACATAATCCTCTGGGTTGAACCCAGCTGCAGTGAGCGCCTTGTCGATGACACTGCGGGCTGGATGGCTAGTAGCTGTCCAGGTTTGGCTTTCCCGCTTCATCTCTGCCAACTCTTGAGTGGAGAGATCTTCAATCTTGGGCTCCTTCTCTTTTGGTTTTTCAGGCTTCTTTCCCTTTGCTGGCTTCTTGTAGCCACGATGCCTCTGGGACCTCGAGGCTGAGGGGCTTCATCAAATTTCCCCTCATCATCTTCATCATCCCAAGCTTGAAGTCGACCAGTACCCTTGGCACGAGCGATCTCATAGTAGTCGAGCTCCTCAGGGTAGTTGGCCTCATAGTCGCGCCAGGATTCAAATCGATCCTGGGCCTTATCAACGCGATGCTGCTCGGCGCGCTGACGGCTCTTCTCCTTCTTCTTGGCCAATCTTGGGTCCATGCCTGATGCCAAATCAGCTGAGAGCCTTGGCGACTCCGCCGGCACCGAAGCGGCGCGGCGAGGAGTTGGCCTCTTCAGCAAGATCTTGGCTTCTTTCTCCTTTTCTTCATACTGTTCTTTCAGCCTTCTCATCTCGGCCTGTTGCTCCAAGATGGCATCATTGGCTGCTTTGCCTTGGGCCTCGGCCTCTTCAATGGCCTTCTGGATCGTCTCAGACTTCTTCTCATACAGTTCGCGGTTGGACTGCATGGTCTCTTTGGCGTAGCCTTGACTTCAGTCTCAGCTTTTGCCTTGGCTGCTCCACGAGAAACTGCGGCAGGTGCTGCTTTCTCCATCTCAATGGCAAAGAGGGTGGCGATGACAGCGGAATACTCAGGCTCGGGTTGATGCTCTTGAGCCATAGAGGTTTCAGATTCCTCAACTGAAGCTACCTTCTTACTCTTACTCTTGCCTTTACCTTTAGAGTCCTTGCCTTTGCCACCTTTGCCTTTACCCTTGGAGTTTTGGTGGTACCAACTACTCCTGTTCCAATCATTCATATACCCATCGTTCTTGTTCCATGAGGTGTTCCATGAAGAGAAGTTGGACCATGAGGAACCTTTTCCCTTCTGTTTACCTTTGTCGTTTCCCTTGCCTCCATCTTGACTCTTTCCTTTTCCTTTGCCGCCTTTTGAGCCACCTTTGCCCTTTCCTTTGGCTTTAGCCAGACTTGCAAGTGAAGACTGCATCTGGCTGGCAGCTGCGGCTAATGCATCAACATCCATTGGTGCTGATCCAGTCTTTGCTTCTCTTCGGCTCTCGATGTTCTCGAGGTAGGCCAAAATCTCTGACTTCATGATGGCATAGTCAGTGAGTCTCGAACTCTGGAGGTCAAGGTGATCTTGAAGTTTGGATGGACACATCTGCTGAAGACAACTTCTTGCGATGTCGTCATCAAGAGCTTTCTTCTTTCGCTCTTCGTACTTTCGCCTGATGTTTTCCCAGGCTTCTATGCTCTCTCTGAGCTTGTCCAGTGCACACTGTTGTGGGTGCAGGACCTTTTTCAGCAAAGCTGAGTTTGCTTGTGGGTTCTGTGGATCATACTTAGTGATCAATCGTCTCAAAGCCTCTACCTTATGTTTTTTACTTATAAGTCCTGTTACGCTACTTATACTTATATGTAGCATAAGTATACTTATCATACTTATGGACCTTACCGAATAAGTAGCACAAGTGCGACGGTAAGTAGAACATGTTGTGTTTTTGAAGGTTTTGCTTCTTTCTGTGTTTTGGTAAATTTCAACCAGACGCAGCCGCATATTTAAGACATCTGTATTTATATATACACATATATATATATATGTTCGCGTGCACTGGTCGGCGCGCGGCTGGACTTGGCCGCGGCAGTCTGTTTGGGGCCGTGTATATATATATATATTTATTTTTTTTAGAGATCTCTGCGGCTCTGCGGAGGTGTCGGAGACATGACACAAACAACAACAAAAACGAGCGGCGCGGAAGCCCCAAACCACCAAAAAAAAGAAAAAACAATATTTCCCGTCCCGGTCTTCCCACAAATTTCCCACAAATGATTTCATTGTTTTTCAATCTTCCCACAATTTCCCTTATTAAAGGTAATTGGCAGGGTCTTTCCCGCAATCTACTTCCCCAAAGTCTTCCCACAATTTCCCACAATTTTCCCACAATTGCGGGCACTCCGTTTTCTTGCGCCCAGTAAGTGCTCTACATAGGCCCAATGAGCCCGATAGAGGCTTCAAGCTTATACACCTCAGAGACCAGCACGCCCACGGCGTCCAAGGTGTACAAGATGTCGGTTGCAGCTGCGCTCAGACTCCCTCGCTGAGCATATGCGCTGCGTGCGTGTAGTCTTGCACAGGTCGCCGTGCGCGCGTCTCCATGCCTCCCACAAAAATGCTCCCACAGTCTATATTTGCTTGAGCCCAACTGCCAGGACAACCCTCAAAACCTCTATCCCCATAAGTAGGATAAGTAGAAAATAAGTAGAACCTTGTTTTTTCGTCATACTTACGTTGTACTTATAAGTATGCATAATTTTTAACATAACTACCACAAGTATCTATATAACTACGATAAGTTCCAAGCCATTTTCGTAGAACTTACGCAACTTATCACGGTTATAACTATGGATTTCAGTCTAGTTGTCCCATTCATAACTAAGTTATAAGTATAAAAAACATAAGGTAGGCCAAAGTGCTGACCTCTGGAGGTATTCTTGACAATCTCGAGGGCTTCTCCCTCACATAGTGAGATCAGAGCCTGTTGGGCCTGAGCTGAAACAAGCTCGGCTCCTTCAGGATAATCGTCTTCCAGAGATGTCTCATTGATCTCTGTATCTTGATGCTCTTCGAGGAGCTGAATGCACTTTCCTGCATTCTTGTGACTTGTCTCAATCCAAGTCTTGAACTTGAAGTACCATGAGTCCCAGGTACCTGTGTGTCCACTGAACTTGTCAGGCTTTGGAATGCCTTTCAATTCTGATCTGTCTCTTACTTCTACGCTGGTGGCTATGTTCTTTGTGATCGCCGTTTGTTGTGTGTATGCTTCTGCCAATGCTCGTTGCAATTGGCTCTGCCCCTGTGCTAGGGCTTGCGTCATCTGTGCAAATTGCTGTGCCATGTCTGTGGCTTGTTGCGCCTGTGCTCCTGGCTGTTGCGCCATGCTGACTTGCTAGCCAGGGATTGAAGCAATCCGGCTTTCCTGCAAGTGATGCTTGTTTTGTGGATCTCCGGTGCCAGAACCGATGCGGCTCGGCAACCTTTGATTCGCAGACGGTAGCCGGGTCTTAGAACCGCGGCTCCGCTACCATGAACGGAGAATTTAGGCTCTTAAACTCAGTGACTTAGGGTCACAGTCCCAAAGGTTGTAGTTGAAGCTTAGGCACACTTTTAGCTCACGCCTGAATGATCAGGTAGATTAAAATGAACACAAAACGGCTGCAGTGAAACATACATCTATACAAGCTATGTCATGTACATGCCACTGGTGCTACATCTGATCAGAAGTGCTTTGTACGCAATGCCAATGACAGGAATTCAGCCAGTTGAGCATCAACACTGGCCTCAATGAGCTGAGAGCTGACACTGTCTGTGAGGTCCCCTTCGAAAAGGTCCTGATACAACAAAGCTGAGAGCAAAGGAAGACTAAAGCAACGGGTTATATAAATTAAAGTAAATGTTGCTGTGACGATCATAAAATGATCCTTGTCCAATATGCAACTTGCAAATTTACAATCTCATTTATATATATATACCTGAGAACGGAGAGGACGAAAGCCAGCGAGGGACAAATATGGTAATGCAAGACTGGGAAGAAACAATAGCGGAGCACTTATTGTTGAGTGCCTCTAGCTTTCGTGGAGCCTGTATCAACGTGGAGTAGATCAAGATCGGAGCACAGCATGAAGTGTTGAATGTTTTAGGTTTTCTCTCGATTTTCCTGGCGCGGTGCTCTCTGGAGCGTCCCTGTTTGGTGGTCTATTTGAGAATCCGGGAAAAAAGAAACGTCAGTGCTGTTGGAGACTTTACTTGGGCTTATGTCACTGATCCGCCCAACATTATAACCATAAGTCGCGGCTACACCTCTCGTCCCAGAGACATAGAGACACAGAACCATAGAGACTTAAAACATAGAGACATAAAACACAAAGAAGTTGCTATCTACACGGGCTCCGTTTCTGAGAGCAACTTGTCGCTGCCAACCAACTGGCATACTTGCCCCAAGACATCCAAGCAGACTTCTCTGAAAGGATGACTGGGAGGATGTCAGGAACTATATGCCTCAGCATTGCTGTCACCAACCGTCATCCAAAAATATTGCATAGATCCGTGACTATAACCCATCCTCAAACAGCAATCTCTTCACCCCACCAAGTTGCTATCTACACGGGCCCCTTTTCTGATAGGCACTCGTCGCTGCCAACCAACGACCATACTGGCCCCAATACATCCAAGCAGTTCCATTTTGAAGCAATCATCATTCCCCAACAGCGAAGCGTAGGGCGCAGGGGTCTTCTGCCATAGGAAAGACTTCGGAGCAAAGTCAGAGCGAGCTTCGGAGCAGGTTCCGGACAAGGTTCCGCAGCGGATCCGGAGGAGGTGCGGAAAACGGTTCCGGAGGAGGTTCTGGAGAAGATTCCGGGGGAGGTTCCAGAGAAGGTTCGGGAGAAGGTTGCGGGGCAGGTCCATGAGGAGGTTCTGGAGAAGGTTCCGGAGCAGGTTCAAAAGCAGGCAAGGCTCCACACAGGAGGGCTTGGACAGCGAAGAGACTTTCTCAGTGGCGCTTCGTGCTGTTGGGGACTTTACTTGCGCTTATGCCACTGATCCGCCCAAAATATAACCATAAGTCGCGGCTACACCTCTCTTCCCAGAGACATAGAGACATAGAGTCAGAAAACACAGAGAAGTTGCTCTCTACACGGGGTCCTTTTCTGATAGCAACTTGTCGCTGCCAACCAACTACTATACTAGCACCAATACATCCAACCAGACTTCTCTGAAAGGATGACTAGGAGGATGTCAGGAACTATATGCCTCAGCATTGGTGTCACTAACCGTCACCCAAAAATATTGCATAGATCCGTGACTATAGCCTTGAGAGCTTGACTCAAGCGATGGGGTGCAGGATGGCTTTAGGTTCGTACCCAACTAGCCTCATACCTTTGCGTGCACGCTGACGTGTCTCACCGTTCCCAGCAGCCCGTCCGGCGCAAGAAAAGTGCTCACTTCGTTCGCTCACAAAGCCTGCAGCCACTATATAGACTAGGGTATGTTTTACCTGCTTTGCCGGTCCAGTCAATACCATCTATAATAGCTTCCAACGTTGTTCCGGCCTGGCCGCGCAGATAGTAGATGGATCGATAGATCATAGATAGATAGATAGATAGATAGACTTGCGCAGGCAGCAAGATGGTTCTGGGAACTCCCTGGAAAGGTGAGACACGTCAGCGTGCACGCAAAGGTATGGGGCTAGTTGGGCACGAACCTAAGGATATCGACATGTCCTGGCCAAGCATGCACGACCGGGCAATTTACATTCGTTGTTGGATTTCAATTAAAGAACAACGTTCGGTGCACGTGGACGCCGCGAGAAGCATCCGCTCGACGGTACAGGTATAGTAGAAACTAGGATGGTTGCTCTGTACATGGGCGCCTGTCTCCACTCCAGTGCTCAATGCCCATTGTCCAAATAGCCTCCACAGCCCTTCGTGATGCTAATGATGCAGTACTCGGCGTCCATTGCATCACTCGCATCACCAGACCCCATGTTCATTGCTTTTCTGACCCTCGCTTTGGAGCGCTCTCCCCAGGCAAGCTCCGGGTTCACCCCCTCTCATCGGCCTATCGGCTGGCTTTCGTAATTATACATATATAGATCACATACATGTACAGTGTACAGACTTGTTCATCCAATGATGATCTTCAAAAGGCTACCACTCTCATCCATGCCTGGTGCTTCCGAAGACGCTCCGGGCGAGTTATATCATTGCAGTCCTGCTTCGCAGGATTTGATCGATGCAATAAGCTTAAACCCTGAAACCCTCAGGCCTCTGAGACCAGGTGCTGCAAAAGAATCAGAAAGCGCAGTTGCTTTGTGTTCAGCCTTGGGAGGTGAACACCACCACCAGGGTGACCGCTCAGAGAACGATGATACGCAAGAAGCTGCTACTGCTACCCAAAGCATTTGCAAAAAACCGGTCTGTTGTTTGCTGGCTGCAAGTAGGTTTGCAATTCTTTTCTGACATCACTGGGAGAAGAGCACGCGACTCCTGCATTGTGAAATCAGGAAAGACCAGGCCACCACATGTTTGCCTTTTGCTCAAGCTATCTGATATCTATGAGCCATGTGGATTGCTCAACAGAACTTCATGAACATTGAAATTCACGAGCAAGCAAATTTGTAGCTAGTAGGAACAAAGGGCATCGCTAGTAGGAGCAAGAAGCTACTAGTAGCTCCTGGCATTACTACTAGTAACAAGAAACTACTAGGAACAAGGGCATCGCTACTAGTAACAAAGGGCATTATTACTAGTAGCATTCTTGCTACTAGTAACAAGAGGACTCTACTAGGATCAAAGGGGATTTCTACTAAGAACTTCACTTGCGTCTCCTGCCAACACACACTCGGAGTCTCCTGCACTCGGCGTTCTTTTGTACAAATCCCAAAGAGTCTGAGGCAAACTGCTGCAGTCTGGCCTCACTCACTCTAGGCGAAACATGAAGAAACATGAAGAGTCCAAAGTAAAAGGGCGAAGGGTAATTCATTGTAATTCATTCAATTCTGGGACTGCAATGCGGCAAGAATAAACAATGCAAGCAAAGCAAACGGCTTAATGTCAGCAGAACAGGCAACCTCAATAACTCTCCCAAAAAGGAATCTATTGACCGGTTCAAGGTGGAAAGATCTCCAAGGAAGCTTCTCTCTCTCTCTCTCTCTTCAGCCTTCGAAACACATTTTAACCGTATATATATATAGTATTAGCCACTTCTGCTCTTGCCGTCCTACCCGCTAATATGAGCTTTTACATTTTGTCATTGAAATATCTGAAGCTAAATTGTTTCTTTTTAACATAAAACTAAGTACTAGGGTACCAGAGGGGGTAGTCCGCGAAGGCCGTAAAGAGTGGTTCATTAAGTAAGTTTTAGCAGTGAGTACAGTAGCTTCTAGTGGTTACTGTGGCTACTAGTATTGTAAGTAGTGCTACTAGGCGGCAGGACGCAAAGCTTCCCAGGCCACAAAAGCGGCCGGGGCAAACTTCCTTGAAGAAGCTATTTGATGCCTAGATATTTTGGGACACTTAATATTTGATCCATTTGGAAAAGACTCTGCTGCTGCACCTTGTTGGTGTAGGTTGCCCAAAAGTTTACCTTTTGCTGCGAAGGCTGCGTGCCTGAAAAACACACATACATGCCATGGTGCGTGTGCTAATAAACTGGGAAGACTCCCATGAACAAAGACCTTGAAAATACAAAACCTGAAAAATAACTGTTTACAATTCGCGTAATTTCCTGTATTGCAACCCTCAAGAAGTCGCCTGATTCCTCATATTGTCGCTGCTCCTGGCGGATCAATACATTTTCATCTACAGTACAGAAATTGTGATACCTGAACCATCCGGAACTTCACGCTCAAACCGACTCCTCATAGCAGCGCCTCTCTAGCTCTCGGTAGATTTCGCAAATCACCGACTTGGCAATCTGTGCATTCCTGCAAGAATGAATGTGTGCTCTTGGAAGCAGTCGCAGCTTTGGAAGGCCTCTGCGCCACGGATATGCTGCCGATACCCTGCAACGGAGGCATCAAATTAAGCAAACAATTGCATCAAAATCATACATCGTTATACATACATAATACATACAGCGCATACAGTTATACTGTAACTATAGTATAAATTGCTACAGTAACATAAACTAATCGGATGGCCGACTTGCACAGAATCACTGCTTGGGCGTGTCATCAGTCATCCTTGTCGGAACTGGGAAAGCTCAGCTCCGTCTCCAGGTTGGGCTCATATTCGGGCGCAGTGCATTGCCCACACCTTTGCGGCAAGTAGGATCTCTAGGGTTCCCCCACTTGCGAAACAGAGAATGCTATATCTATTCAATGTGGCCTTGGCAAGCGAAGAACCTCAAAACAACATGAGGTCAACCAAAAGACGCCAAGTTGTATCGCACAATAAGCACATGAGAAACACGTAGAAATCTATCGCCTTAAATTCAAGATCCTGATCTCGCACAGGCGACTGGATGCCGCACCTCAAAAGGGCTGTGGACATGGTGTCCGTTGTTTTCCTTTTATGAGCAAGGAGGCGACAAGCCAAGATTTGGCTGCTGCACTGCCTTTGTGACCGTCTCTTTCCTGGGAGAAGAAATAGCTTGAAAATATCAGGTCTTCGTCCAGTCTCAATGTTCCATCAGAGGCGCTGGCGGTCCCATACAAAAACTCAAGTAGCCACTAGAGGAACCATCTCGAGGCACGCCCGCAAAACTTGAACCTCAAGACTGAAAACCAAGAAAGCAACAAGAAAGATTGAAAGAGTCCGTCATTGGTCCCTCATTAGCCCTTCCCGTCTTTTGAGTTTGTTTTCTTGGTCCGTTGAACACGGAGAACAAAACAAATGCATTAGATGTGTCAGCTGCATGCCTCGTCGAACTCCACCTTCAACTCTGAAAAATAACAAATACATTTCAAGGGCCACGGTAACAAGTAAGTACTGTTTGTCTATCTAGATTCTAGATATAAAAAATGGTTCATAGAAAAAACTGCAACTTGTTCACTTTACACTTTACACACTAAATTGTCACTTGCAAAATTCGAGAGTTGACAACAAATCGATCCATATCGATCCTGGCCTTCAAAAGGAAACTAATATATACAAGGTCTACTGAACTTCTGGACGGCCTGGGTCTATTCGTTGTGCATCCCACGGGAATGTCAGGAAATCTCCTGGCAAACTGAAGCTGTCACAAGCTGTCTGTTCTTGACTAATCAGCATTACCATGTCACACCTGAGAATTTAATTGAAACACAGACTGAAACAGTGTTGCTCCTGGTCCAGATCTCCAAGACATTAGTGAGGCCAGAGCCGCTGGACTGGTGCAATGGAAGTGGCGGCTCTGGGCATTGCTCCGAGTACCGACACAGCGAGTACCTTCCGAACTTCGACACAGTCATCGTCATTTCACCTTCATCCTCACAAGGCATATCCTTCCCTTCTTGGACACTGAAACGGTCCGTGATAAGAACTATGATAGTTGTTGCGTATCTTGCTGTTCCAGTTCAAGGTAAATATATAAATATCAAACACCAAGTGAAAGAGCAACACTTTGAAGCTCCCGAAACTCCTGTCTCTGCTCCACTCTGTTCTTTGTCCAAGCTATTTGCGTGATGTGTGCTTTAGTCCGACCATCCTCAAATGCAAAGCTGCATGGGCCACCAAGCTTACTGCGACATGCTCTTGCGTCCCAAGGGCAACTAAGGCAAGTGGTCAATGTAGTCAAAAGAGACAGTCAAGCTGATGCTTGAGAACCAATGCTGGGTGGCTCTTTAACTCTCAGTGCAGGAGAGACAACAAAAAAGGAAAAGCAATCGATGCTCCAAAGAGAATCGATGCTCCAAAGTCCACACTCACTTTTAACCAGGATTGTTCGCTAGCTCGCAAGTCTTTTGTGCACTTCCAAATACTTGGAATAGAGTGGAAAATTATTCCACTGGTCGTTCACTTCGTGCAGTCTCCAATCTCCTACCTGGGTAACTCATGCTGTGACACTGAAGCAAACCCCATTGGGTCTCTCCATGGCAGTCGTGCAGGGCTGCTTGACCTCCCGGAGCTAAATCTGATTGGTCTCCACTCCACCAATCGAGTCAAATTAGAAGAAAACAATTAGTGGATAGCCAGGCCCGAGAAAGCATACCTTTCAACACTTTCTAAAATCACAGTGTATGTATATATGTTGTGTCAAGTCCAAAACCGTCAAGCAAACTAATTATATAAGGGTTCTAAAGATGTCTAAAGCCCAACAAACATGTTTAAGTTTCCTAAAAATCTAGGAACCAAATCATTAGTGCGAGCGCTTCTTCAAGGAAGCTCCCCTCAGGCATCTTGGCTCCCAGCTATTTGCCTCACGCCCCCCCGCGAGGGCCGGGGTGCTGCCGTCCACGTCTTTCGTGGAGGTGGCACGCCCACAGACCTCTTACTCACCAGTGAGAGGATCGCCATGGCTATGATGGAAACGAAGAGCGCTGCGGGTTCTAATGCTGTTGGAAGTCTGATAGAATGGTCAGTTGTTGGCATGCCGGTTACCTTGGCTGAGACTGTCACTAAGGCTCTTCATGGCATTGCTTCCTGTGGTGAGTGTCGGCTTGAGTCGGATGACTGGGTTCTGTTCGGGGAAGTCATGGACGTGAGCACTGGACCTCCTTTCTGTGTCCATGTCCGGAGGACTTCGATGTTGCTGCAGCCACTTGAAGTTGAAGCAGTGAGATGGCCCACGTTTGACATCCTTTGTCCAGTGCGGCATAGAAGAGTTGACTTCTCTCCTGGCATGTGGATTGGCATTGTTGCCAAACCTGGGAACCGCCTTGAAGGTGATCGTATTCTTGCTGATGCTAAGGTGACTGTCTGGAACGTGCCTAACTACAATGGCAGTCTTGCATGGCAGGTGTCACACCTTTTTGCTGGCGCCTATGAAGGCTGGCTTCGAGCCATGTGGTGGCTTCAAAATGCAGGCATGGGGTATGTCTTTGCATCTCACACCTCGGTTGACTGGAGTTCCGATGTTATGCGAACATGGAGTTCAAACCATCGCAAGGACTTTCTTCGATGTCCTATCGATGTTGACTTCGACCCCAGTGATGCATACACTGGCATACTTGCTGACATCAATGAGTTCACACTGGTCAGAGCCACCTCTCACAAGTCCAACCTGCTCATGACAATTTCACCTCCATGTCCAAGCTGGAGCAGAGGAGGCAAACACTCAGGACTCGCGTCGGACGAAGGGTTCTGCTTCATCGATGCCATAGACCATGTCTGCAAAGTTAGGCCAGTCCTTGCGCTCTTCGAATGTTCTGATGGCTTGGAAGCCCATCCACATTGGAGAGTGATCTCTGCTGCCATGCAGCTTGCTGGATACATGAGGATCTGGTCTCAAGATGTTGCGATTCACCAGATCACAAGCAACCATCGCACGCGGTGGTTGGCAGTTTGGTGCCGTCAGGATGTCGAAGGGAATAAAACAGCAGAGCGACTTCAGTGCTCGACTCCTCGTAGACTTCCTTGGAATGATCCAAAGTATCAGTTTGAGTTGCCGAGAACCCTAGTTGATAGTTTGAGGCTGAGTCAGGACCAATTGCAGATATATGGTGATCGGAAGTTGCTTCCTCCAGCCAAGAAAGCTCGAGTTATTGAAAGCGCTTCGTTGCAGCAAGTGCTCCAACAACGTGTACTCCAGGTTGGAGAATACTTGCCAACTTTGTGTGCCTCTTACACTGCGCAACACCTGCTCCACGCTGAACATGTTCAAAACAAAGGAATCTTTGCAACATTGCTTGCTGCAAATGATGAGTTTCGCTTTATTGATCCATTTGTGTATGCCTCCCTCTTCGGGACGACAGCTACGCTGAGCTTGCCGACTGATCTCCGGCAAGCTTTTCATCAGTTGGGGAATGCGATTTCTCAGCTTCATGCACTGGCAGCGATTCTTTTTGCTCTGGAGGGAATTTCAGGTGAACCCATCTCCAAGTTAGCGGTGCTGCAACAATGTTGGGATGATCGCCTTACTGCTGAAAACGCTTTGGTTAGAGCTGTTGATGGCATGTACATCCTTCAACCGATTGCCGACCTGGTTGCCAAGATTCTTCCAAGTATTAGGACATGGAGGCCATGGCTTGCTGGAAGCATCCTTATCCGGTTTTGTGATGATTGCACTTTGATCCCTGCTGACAAAACAGTTGGAAACTGGGCAACGAGTGATCTCCTCAGTGGGCTTGAACTTGAAGACCATCATCGCAAGCTTCTCACCTTGTTCTGGGATGGTCAGGTGCTCCCACATGATGTTGACTGGGGGCACATCCCGCCTGGACAGATTGTCATAAGATGTGGAGCCTTTGAGATAGCCTCATTGCAGGTCATCAAGTTGAATGAGGATGTGGGAAATGATGATCCTATTGTATCCCCTACGCAACCATGGTGTGAGCAGGAGGATGATCCCGAATTTGACTTTTTGTTGGAGGCACATCGGAAGGGATTCCTACACGTTGCTGAATACGTTTGCCAGGATTTGCAACCTCGAGTGGCTCTTCAAGTCTTGTTGCTTCAGCAAGATGGCACTTTCAGCTGGATCAATCAGGCCAATGTGGACCGACTTGGGAGTATTCCATGCTTCCAGGTGCAAGATGTGAAGCTCCACTTCATTAAGGCCAACCATGAAGCGTGTCGAATGTTGTTGGGTGTGTTGGTGGTTATGGCCATTCAAGGTGCCTATGAGCCTGTGAGTGCAAACAAATGGGTTTTATTGGCTGGTGGACAAGACACCAAATGGTTGAAGATTTGCCAAGTGCCTCGCACTATGACACCTCTGCAATGTTCGGCTTTACTGGGGCAGTCTTGCACCATCAAGATGCGCAACTCTGTTGAGTGCCCAGCCGATCAAGCTCTCATGCTTATCAACGGTGACATTTTGTGGTGTGACTCAAAGCCTAGACAGGCTGCGCCAATTGTGTTGGGAGGCATGGATTCTCTCACTGAACACCCAAGTTGCAACGTGCAGAATGACTCGGTTGCGGCCAGGCTTTTACAGTTTAACCTGGAGCCTGGTTCCCTTGCTATGGATGAGATGGTTTTCCATTTTGATGTGTTGCAGCTTTTGATGCCTTCTATTTGTTGGTGTGCTCCTGCAATGTGGGTGAGTAGCGAATCGCAATTTCGCTTTCCAGTTGAGCCAGCTGACTTACAACGATGTTTCCAGCACTTTGTTGTGCCGATCCTCGTTGTCTTTGACTGGATTTTCGTCGAAGTCCGATTCTTTGAAGGAATGTGGAGAGTGCTTTACCACTCACCAGAGCAGTTGACCCTGCGGCAGCGCACTGCTGTCTTGGAACTCATCAACAACATGCGTATTCCTGTTCAGCCTAATGCTTTCAGATGGATTCGAACCACTGAAGATACAGAGTTGGCGGCATGGCATACCCTTCGCACCTTCTATGCGCGTGCTGGAGCACCATTGCTTCCTGTCTCCCATCGCACGACACAGCGCTTGCAAAGAACGCAATACTCTGACCATGTGATGCAAATCCTTGATCAAGCCGACTTTGTTTGGAGAGAGACGCAGACTGATGACAGGATGCTGCAGTTTGCCCGTGCCAGTCGTAATGCATTCATGGTGGCCATTTTGGAGTCACCGAGTCGAGCTGAAGATTTGATCCTCCGATCAACTGGAAGGCCCCCTCAGACTTACAACATCCACGAAATCTTCTTTGTTGCTGATGAATGGTTGGAGATGAGAGCCAACATATACAGGACACACCCTGGATGGGCTACAAGTGATGAGATGGAGTCCCTGTTGACCTTTTTCCTGCCTGAGTCTTTTTGCCCTCCTGTACTCCATCATGACCTTTCCATCATTGCGGCAAGTGTCATGCCGAGAAGTGATCAGGTCCAACGCTTTGTGGCTCTTCGAGAAGGTCACTGGGTGGGTATTGAAGTCATTTGCAATGTGGCTGAACACACTTGTCGTGTAGTCTTTCTGCAAGCTCCAGCTCGCGATCAACAATTCTGGACAAACTTTGCTGCAGAATATGTAGTGCCGATTGGCTTCAGGCCAATCATTATCGTCGATACTACTCGAACCCGGCCTGGTATGTGCGGGTGGGAGCTGCTTCACCGTTGGGTCGTCTCGGACTTGTCGCTGCCTGCGGACTTTCACATTCCTCAGCAGAAGCGCCATGTTGTTGACATGATTCTCGAAGAATCTGAGCATGCTTGGCGGATTGCAGGGGCGCCACCTATGCTGCGTACATTTGCTGCTAATGTTCGTCGGACGTTTCTTCTGGTTGGTGGATGTCAAGTACTGCAACCTTGTTCTGCAGTCTCCCTTGGTGGTATGGAAGGAGTTGTTTCTCCGGACACTCCGATGCAAGCAACCGATCCTTGGCAGTTTGATGACCCCTGGAAAACCAAGAAGAAATCTGTGAAGCAGAGCAAATGGGAGGACCTCCAGCTTCAAACTGATCATCCCTTTATCAGCAAGGACAAAGTTCCACTGCCGTTCGTGCAGAAACAGCAGTTGTCCACCAATCGAGGAGGAATTGCATTTGTCTCCAAAGGTAACTTGAAGCAAGCCACGGAGATCGTGCCGAAGGAGCCCTGTGCACTTCTCTTACCAATTGTTGACCCAACTGATCCTCTTGCCAAGATGCCAAACCTGTCTGGACCCTATGAGGTGATCGTCTTTGATCCTGCCTTGGACCAAGAGTACAAACGTCAAGTGCATCTTGTGGTGGTGACTCCAGATGTTCAGTTTTCGCTGCCGACTCCTTCAATCACTCTCACGCTTGCAGCAGTATGTGAAATTGTTCTGGAGTGTGATGCCAGACTCACAACGAAAGATGTTTTCCAATCTTTCTATGACAATCCTCTTGGCAAGTTCAAGAACCTTCTCAAGGAAGTTTGTTCTGATCCTATTTGGAATCATGCTGCAATCTATGGTTATCGGGTCATTCAGGAGCACGCCAAGGATAAGCATGATGTGGTTCATCAATGTATCCTCAAAGTGCAGCAGAAGCATCGCACTCCGTTGCTGGCTGTTAGTGGTACGGGAGA